TGATAGTATCATTTATTCAAAATTTATTTAATCCATTGTGTTTACAAAAGCTGAATTTTCTATAAAGCAAAATTATTTTACTTTATTTCATTTAACCCTCCGTCGGTCGGCGTGGTCTAGCCAGACTTTTTTCGACTTCAATTTAAAAAAAAAAATACTTCTAGTAATCCTATCGACTTGAAATTTCTTGACTTTTTCTAAATTTTCATTAGCTGTCGATCATTGAAAAAATCAAGACGAAAAAATGTACAGAAGGATAATTATAAGGATATTAACTTTTTTATACTTCGAACGGTCGGAAAGGTCTGTCTAGACCACCCATACATTTTGTATGAAATATACGCTTTTTGATATATGTAAACCAGTATTTTGTCTTTTTCCATGGTATTTTTCTATTCAAACTGCGTTGTTTATATTCTTTGCTATGTGTTCTAACATGAATGTTAGTATTTTCATGACGAGAGTTCCTTGAAAACCTACCAAACTTATTGGTAATCGCAAACACTGAAAATCGGATGAGTAATGCACACATTATCAACAATTTTTCTACCCGTACTGCGTTCGAAATTTTTTTTGACAAACCTGTAGTGAAATTATATTTTCACTTTGAGTTTTACAGCTCATTTCAAAGGCGACGCACTTCACTTCGTTTTCGTTTGAATTTCACATTCATTTCAAAGGCGCCGAAAAAGAATAAATATTGTTTTTCATTGATATAAAACAGAAAAATTAAAAAAAAAGCAACGATTTTTTATCATTCTTAATTTTTTTTATATAATATAATATGTAATATTTTTATTATAAGCAACTTGCTTAAAGCAAGCTCAACACATGTAAGAAAAAGAAAAAATCAAAACTATAAATATTTACTACTAATAATAGTTAATATATAAGACACCAAAAACTCATTTATCCCATATAAATGCATGTAAAATGAATGGTGGTCCAGCCAGACCTTTCCGACCGTTCGAAGGTGAAAAAATATCCGACCGACGGAGGGTTAAATAGATAACAGAATAAATGACTTAAAACTTAAACGACATAAATATTACTTACAAATGCGATATTTTAAATGATTTCAAATCTATGCAAAAAAAATGTATCAAAAGTTTATCTTCTGTGAAAAATATTTACTTCTACCACAACAATCTTAGAAATTACTCTGCAATTGCGATAGAAAAAGAAATAACGGTTATCTCATATCAAAAACATAATTTTAATTTCAAAATTAAATTTATTTAATCGTAAACCAATAGCTTTTTTGTGATTTGATTATTAACTTCCCGTACGTTCTAAAGGTTTCTGAAGATTTTGGCTTACTTTAAAAGAATGGATATATGTTTGTGTGTGTATGTATGCATGTTTGTGTGTGTGTGTGTGTGTACGCGCGCGTGTGTGTGTGTGGATACAATTTTTTGTCGGCGTTTTCGGGCGCACGGATCAACCGATTTCAATAATTCAAAAAACATTTGATTCCTGTTGATAAGAAGACGTTTTGATTAGTTTTTGGCAATGGCAGGTCTAGCTTTTTAGGAGATAGGGGGCAAATAATGCCAAAAACGGTTTTTCAGTTTTTGAGAGAACAGAGCGTCCGATTTGAATAATTGATAAATTATTTTACTTGACTGTGTACAAAAAATGATTTTACAAAAAATGTCGTAATTTTGAAAATTCTCAAAAAAATTTAAATCTACAAATTTGAAAATTCTCAAAAAAATTTAAATCTACAAATTTGAAAATTTTTAATATTTAAAAAAAAAATTCAAGTTTTTCAAAAAAAATATAAAGTTTCAGAATATTCAAATTTTCGAAATTTGTCATCATTTTTTAAAAAAATCTAGATTTTGAAGAATTTCAAAAAATATCAATATTTCAAAAAGAAAATGGATTTCTTACCAAAATTTGAGAATATTTTGAAATTTTCAAAAAAAATCAAATATTTTCAAAAATTTCCAAAATCCCAAACTTGAAAAAATTGATTTTTTTCAAAAAATCCAAAAAAATCGATTTTTTTCAAATGTTTCAAAAAAATTTCGAAATTTTCAAAAATAAATCAAATATTTTCAAAAATTTCCAAAATCTCAAATTTGAAAAAATCGATTTTTTTCAAAAATTCCAAAAAATCGATTTTTTTTTCAAAAATTCCAAAAAATCGATTTTTTTTCAAAAAAAATCAATTTTTTCAAAAATTCCAAAAAATTCAAACTTTTAAAATAATTCCAAAAAAATCGAACTTTTAAAAATTTCAAAATTTTGAGAAAATTCCGATATTATCAAAATTTGAACAAATTTCTTGTTTGTAGAATACGTTTGTTGTCCAATTTAAAAAGCGCTTTGCAAATTTACAGTATGTATTCAAATAATTCTAATTCAAATAATAATCTATTTGAAATTATTTAAAACAACTATTGATTATTTTGATTCCTTGAATGTTTAATTATAGTATGGAAAGTTCCAGCAATTTGCCTTAAGGCACGATGCCATGCACCACTAGTCATTTACCCGATTATCCTTTTCCAGATCTCGCCTCGGTGACGAGCAGACACTTCAGCAATTCTCCAGAGACGCGGACGAAATCGAAAACTGGATCGCCGAAAAACTCCAATTGGCAACCGAAGAGTCTTACAAAGACCCTGCCAACATCCAGTCCAAACACCAGAAGCACCAGGCCTTCGAAGCTGAATTGGCAGCCAATGCTGAAAGAATCCAAAGCGTTTTGGCCATGGGTGGCAATCTGATCGATAAGAACCAGTGCAGTGGTTCCGAAGAAGCTGTTCAGAAGAGATTGAGATCAATTGCTGATCAATGGGAATTCTTGACACAGAAGACTACTGAGAAATCATTGAAACTGAAAGAGGCCAATAAACAGAGGACTTACATCGCTGCAGTCAAGGTAATAAATGATATATTTTCTATATATATAAAAATAAGTCGGGTTTTCCTTCCTGACGATTTAACTCCAGAACGCACGAACCGGTTTCGACAATTCGTTGGAAAGGTCTCGGGCTCCGCAAGGTTTATAGCTGATAAAATTAATGGTGCATGGCATCGTTCCCTAATGCAAATTGCTGAAACTTCACACACCGTAATTAAAAATTCGAGTAATGAAAATAATATATAAAAATAAGTCGGGTTTTCCTTCCTGACGATTTAACTCTAGAACGCACAAACCGATTTCAACAATTTTCAGAAATATGCTTGGTTAAGTCAACGAGCAATTCTTCCCGCCAAGAAATATGATGTACACGCACTGAATTTCACCATTCAAGCAAAAATTGCTGGCGATTTGGTGACATACCAATGATTCCGACTGGTCTTCCGTTTGACTTCAAACGATTGCAATTTCCAGTTCGCAATAACAAGTCGCAAGGCCAATCGCTTAGTGTTTGCGGGATTAATTTCAAATAGATCATATAGAAAATCATTGTTTTTCACATGGGCAGTTATACGTTGCGTGTTCACGAGTTGGAAATCCATCCGCTTTGTTTGTGTTAACGTCAGACCAAAAAACAAAAAATGTGGTTTACCAAAGAGCACTTCAATGAAACGGATAATTTACGGATTCACTTTCATTTATTTAGAGAAGTTCAACTAACAAACACTTCATTTTTGTAATCAAAATAAATTCATTACTGTTGTATAATAAAATCAAATTTTTCCTTTTCAAATATAAAACAAACAAAAAGTTTCTTCATTTTTCTCACGAAACCATCTGGTGGCGAAACGGAGTTCGTCCGGTTTGCTAGTTTTATATAAATATTTTATATTTATTGTCATGATTTTTGTTTAAATGGAATTTGTTTTTAGGATCTTGATTTCTGGTTGGGCGAAGTGGAATCTTTATTGACTTCAGAAGATGCTGGTAAAGATTTGGCATCAGTGCAAAATCTGATGAAGAAACATCAATTGGTCGAAGCTGATATACAAGCTCATGAGGACAGAATTAAAGGTAACAAATACCTATCAACCTTATTTTTCTTGTAAATGTTCCACAAGTTTATAAGTCTTTTTCTAGATATGAATGGACAAGCCGATTCCTTGGTAGACAGTGGCCAATTCGACACAGCAGGAATTCAAGAAAAGAGAACATCGATCAATGAACGTTATGAACGTGTTAGGAATCTAGCAGCCCACAGACAACAGAGATTAAACGAGGCCAACACTTTGCATCAGTTCTTCAGAGATATCGCTGACGAAGAAAGTTGGATCAAGTCAGTATTAAAACAATGATAGATTTTTGTATTTGATTTGATGATTTTTTAATATTAAATGTATTTTCTATTCAGGGAAAAGAAACTGTTGGTAAATTCAGAAGATTACGGACGTGATTTGACTGGAGTCCAAAATTTGAAGAAGAAACATAAGCGTTTGGAAGCTGAATTAGGTTCACATGAACCAGCCATTCAAGCTGTACAGGTAAATAAAATACAATTATTATAAAATTTATATATATACTGTAGAAGTAAAACTTTGTAATATTTAAATGAAGAGGGTTTGATATTGTTTTCTAGTCAGCTAATATTGTTTCTTTAACGCAAGCTTCATTGATATTAGTTACAATTCACAATTGGTAGTTCAAGTTATATTCACATTTTAATCAAACAATATATGTAGCAGTCTACAATATTTTCGGACAGTCTACATTTTCATTTAATCTACGATATTTTCAGACAAATTACAATATTTTTAGACAATCTAAAATATTTTTAGGTCATTTACGGTATTTTTAGATAATTTTGAACATTTACAATGAACTTTCAACATGTTCCAGCATGTTGAAAAATTTTGTGACAACTTGCATCATTTTCAAACAGGTTGAAACATTTTGAGACGACTTCCAATATTTTCAAACAGGTTGAAACATTTTGAGACGGTTTGCAACACTTTGAGACGACTTGCAACATTTTCAGACTACTTGCAACACTCTCAGACGACTTGCAACACTCTCAGACGACATGCAATACTCTCAGACGACTTGCAACACTCTCACACGACTTGCAACACTTTTACACCACTTACAAAACACTCTCAGACGACTTGCAACATTTTCAAACATTCTGAGATGGCTTGCAACATTTTCAAACATGTTGAAATATTTTGAAGAGGCTTTGCCACATTTGCATTCTACTTTCTACATTTTCAAATAGTTTTAAACATTTTCAGACGTCTTGCAACTCTCTCAGGCGTCTTGCAACTCTCTCAGGCGTCTTACAACTCTCTCAGACGTCTTGCAACTCTCTCAGACGTCTTGCAACACTCTCAGACGACTTGCAACACTCTCAGACGACTTGCAACACTTTCAGACGATTTGCAACATTTTCATATAACTTGCAACTTATTTTTACAACATTTTCATTCCAATCGCTGCATTTTCAGACTCCTTTCAACATTTTTAGACCACTTGCAACATTCTCAAGATAATTTGCAACTAGTCTTTACAACATTTTTAGACAACTTGCAACATTTTTAGACAACTTGCAATATTTTTAGACAACTTGCAACATTTTTAGACATCTCACAACATTTTTAGACATCTCACAATATTTTTTTGATCACTTTAGACATCTCACAACATTTTTAGACCACATTCAGCATTTTTAGACCACTTTAAGCATTTTTAGACTACTTTCAACATTGTTAGGCCTACTTTTAACATTGTTAGGACTACTTTCAACATTGTCAGGACTACTTTCAACATTGTTAGGACTACTTTAAATGTTTTTCAGACAACTTGCAACACTCTCAGACGATATGCAACACTTTTAGTCGACTTGCAACACTCTCAGACGACTTGCAACACTCTCAGACGACTTGCAACACTCTGAGACTACTTGCAACACTTTTAGTCGACTTGCAAAACTTTTAGTCGACTTGCAACACTTTTAGACGACTTGCAACACTCTCAGACGACTTGCAACACTTTTACACCACTTACAAAACACTCTCAGACGATTTGCAACATTTTCATATAACTTGCAACTTATTTTTACAACATTTTCATTCAACTCGCTGCATTTTCAGACTCTTTTCAACATTTTTAGACCACTTGCAACATTCTCAAAACAATTTGCAACTTGTCTTTACAACATTTTTAGACAACTTGCAACATTTTTAGACATCTCACAACATCCTTAGACCACTTTCAGCATTTTTAGACTACTCTCAACAATTTAGGACTACTTTCAACATTGTTAGGACTATTTTAAATGTTTTTCAGACAACTTGCAACACTCTCAGACGACTTTCAACATTTTTAGGACTACTTTAAACATTTGCTACATTAAGACAATTTGCAACATTTTCATACTTCTTATAATATATTCAGGCAATCTTCAAAATTTGAAGATAACTCTTACTTTGTTTCTTCCTATTGAACATGTTGAAGTTTCACTTAACAACATGTCCTTCAATTTAATCATTTATCCTTTATCCTTTTACAGGAGGCTGGTGAAAAACTGATGGACGTCTCCAACCTCGGTGTCCCAGAAATTGAACAACGCCTCAAAGCCTTGAACCAAGCGTGGGCCGAGCTGAAGTCTTTGGCAGCCAACAGGGGACAGAAGTTGGGTGAGAGTTTGACATATCAGCAATTCTTGGCCCAGGTGGAAGAGGAAGAGGCCTGGATCAGTGAGAAACAACAGCTGTTGGGAGTCGAGGATTATGGTGACAGCATGGCAGCCGTGCAAGGGCTCTTGAAGAAGCATGATGCTTTCGAAAGCGACTTTGCAGCACATAGAGACAGGTAAAGAAAGAAGAGAAAAGTAAAGCAACATTTTAATTTGATATATATATATATATATATATATATATATATACTAGCTGACCCGACAGAATTTATCCTGTATCCTTGTCTACAAATCAAAAGTTCCAATTTTAATTAACAGCCTTTACTGATATTTACCATTTAGTTAAAAATTATTATATTTTTTACACTACAGTCTATACCGAAATGTATATACATTCATATGGGTGATCTTAAGTGTACAACTGCTTTAAATGATGAGTTTCGGAACCCACACTTAACTCTTTAATTATACAGTGAAATTCAAATCAGCCACGTAAAACCATCAAACAAACAAATATTGAAATATGTTCAATAAAATTGTATACTAGAAATATACACTAGAATCTATTGAACAAATTTATTTCCATTACCTCAATTTATTTTATTGCCAAGGGTTATACAATATCTCTAGTCATACCTGTAGATGTAGATGTATAAATAAATGTTTTTTTGTTTATTCACGACTAAAACATGGATTTTCCAAATTTATCACACAAAAATTCATCGTCTGCTTTTGTGACTTATAGCATAAGATATACGTATTGGAAATTGCAGTCTTTTAAACAGTATAACAAATTCAGAAAGAATTAATATATAGTATCTGTGTTAAAAAAACAATATCACCGTGGATTTTTCCACCCAAAATAATTGCTTCAATAATGTTACCTAAAATTTTTATAATCTTAATTGTTTTCAGTGATATTAATATCTAAATTACATTTTCCTTAATAATAATTCGATATACATTATTACTTAAGTTCATATTTGAAGTGAATTAATTTGTCAAATCCTATTCATATGTGCACTATTCTATCTACAATCAACGAAATTAATGCAGTAAATAGAGAGTAAAAGGTGTGAACTTTTTTACTGTGCTCCAATTTGCATGATATTTTGGAATCTCTTGAACGAAGTTAATTCTAGATGAAAATCAATTAATTTTAATTTAGGTGGAAATGGCGCACATAAAACTATTTGATTTAAATGAAAAAAAAAAAACAGACTCATAACAGTACTTATTTTAGAGCTTATTTTGAGCACTATAAAACCACATGGATAATATAAAATGTTACACCTGGCTTCAAATACAACAATTAAATCTCGAACGAAATAAAAAACGACTTAGCTTTATCATATCTTGCTTATTATTGTTTCTAGCACGCATTATAAAACACCGATTTATTAAGATTTTATTTGATATAATTTTGTTCATTACATGATTTTTGTTAAAATGTATATTTTTGGAGATATTTGCAAAAAACGATGAAAAACGCCGAAAAGAAACGAACTTTCAGTAGCCAGTAACTTGAAAAGTATTTGCTTTTCTGAAAAGCATGAAACATTTATTTCTTATAATTAGTTCTTCTATCGATATCCGACGTTAACTTGAAAAAACATAAAATTACACAGAAGGGCTGTCAACACATTATCATTTTTTTTTTATTTTAAATTTATTAAATATAAATTTATATAATTAAATGAATATTTATTAAAATAGTTAATTAGAGAATATATAGCATTTTTAAACATATAATTATTAATTTTTTAATTTTTCTCCAGGTGCAAAGATATTTGTGATACCGGTGCCAATTTGGTAGATGACAAAAATCATCACGGTGATAGCATTGCTCAACGTTGCCAGCAGTTACAGGTAAGTTTGATAAAAAGTTACAAACAATCGAAAGTTTGCTCCATATAGACTGAACGTTTCAAATTTAATGTAAATTGAAAGTTGCCTTTCCCAAAGAAAAAATTAAACAAAAATTATAATTATTTAAACATTTATATTTATATTATTAAGCAACGAAGTACAAAGCTCTGATTATATAATACATAAATTACAATTAGTACCCTGATAAATATAAATTAAGTGATGAGTTTCACGGTCAATACAAAAGTCTTGTTGATTGTGTTTTTGTCTGTTTTCAGTTTGTACTTTTATGTACCATTAATGCTCGTTTTCTTGCGAATGTTTTATTGCATAATTCACAATTATAACTATAAGGTCATTCGTCTGTATGCACTGATAAATGCCGACTTAAACCACCTGACTGTGAAAACCTCTTATTGCATATTATGCATTCATGAGACTATTTCCCAGTATGGACCAGTTTATGTTGATTTAAAATGCTTTTCGTTTTGAATGTTTTATTACATATTTCACAATTATAAGGTCGTTCACCAATATGCACAGATAAATGCTGTCTTAAATTACCTGACTCTGAAAATCTCTTATTGCATATTATGCATTCATAAGGCCGTTGTCCAGTATGGATCATTTCATGTCGGGTTAAGATGTATTTTCTTGTGAATATTTTATTGCATGTTACACAATTATAAGGTCGTTTTTTAATATGGATCATTTTGTGTTGGTTTAAGTTTTGTTTTCCTTTGAATTCTTCATGGCATATTTTACAATTATAAGGTCGTTCTTCATTATGCACTGATAAATGCTTTATTAAATTACTTGACTGTGTAAATCTTTTATTGCATATTTTGCACTCATGAGGCCGTTCCCCAGTATGGATTATTCCGTGTTGTTTTAAGTTTTGTTTTGTTACGAATGATTTATGGCATATTTCACATTCATAGCGCTTCAACTTACTAGTTGTCTTACGTTTTTCTGAAACTCTTTCAATTGATTTGTTCGTGCTATCCATTAAATTACTTGAATTAGTGATCTCTTCGTTACATTTGTAATGTTTTTCATCTAAAACCCTTTGGTTTGTATTAGCCGAAGCATCTTGCTCATCAAACGTTTCTTGTTTTATTTCCTCATCAATTGTAACTTCAGATTTAAGAAATTGCTGTAGACATATATCATCATCATACGTACACAAATCTGACGTATTTTCATAATCATCAAATTCCTGTTTTACTTGAGGATAATCATCGATCGGTTCGATTTTAATTGTTTGGTTTGAATTTGTTTCTTCAGACATTTTTGAGGTTAGTTTGGTTACAATAGACTAATTGGTGATGAAATCTTAAAAAATGAGAAGTCTAAGTGTATAATAATAAATATGTTTAGATATTTACTAATTCGTTTATTGTTTAATATGATATATTTCTAACACTGACCTTTTTACTATGAATTTATCTTCGAATTTAACTTTAATAATTCCATAAACCTCTTTGACATTTTTCCTCCATTTTTCTTTTATGAACAACAGATCAAGTTGAAGTTAAAAACAATTCAGCTGCGAGTTTTTCGGCGGCAAAATATAAAATCAGAAATTATGTAGTTTTAAGAAAAAGAAATAGATTTAGGTTTAATATTATTTTAGAACGATCTCGTTTAAATTTTAATTAGTTTCATATTTCAAAAAAGTCAATTTTTTTTCAAGGATTTAAATTTTCACAAAAATCGAATTTGTTCAAAGTTTGGCAAAGGTTTTTTAAAAAATTTAATTTTCGGTACCGGAAGTTTCAGCAATTTGCCTTAAGGCACGATCTAATGCACCACTAGTTCACTACTATTTTTCCTTCTTTTCTAGGGAAAACTGGATGGCCTTTCAAATCTGGCCAAACGTCGCAAGGGATTACTATTAGACAACTCGGCCTATCTGCAATTCATGTGGAAGGCCGATGTCGTCGAAAGTTGGATTGCTGATAAAGAGACTCATGTCAAGAGTGAAGAATTTGGACGGGACTTGTCTACTGTTCAGACTCTTCTTACTAAACAAGAGACCTTTGATGCCGGTAAGATAATTTTATATATATATATATATATATATATATATATATATATATCTAGATATATATATTTATATATATATATGTACTAGAGATGGGTAACTCACTCCGGAAATATTACTCCGATACAACTCCTCCCTCGGAGTGAATCCGAGTGGAGATGTTTCACAGTATTTGTTTTATCCGACTTCCCTAAACTGATACTAAATCTGTTAACATGTGCAGATATTTGCTTGAGATTTTTTACTAATACAAAGATTTGAGTCGAAAGAAGTTGGCTTTTTCTCGTCTAATACCCAGTTTTAGGACTTTCCAGGTATATAATGTCTCAAAATAATGCTATTTTGTATTCTTTTTTATACACGATAATGTTTGTCCGTAAATGAGCTCTTTCAATGATATACAACCAGCTAAAAAATATAAACAGAAAATGTTGTTTATAATTTAATTTTGTGTACATTCATCTAACATTTCATTTAAATCGGACTACTGGTTTAAGAGCTACAGTTAATTTTATAAATAAACGCACATAGGCAATTTATTCAGCACGCTCAAACAATATATTTTCAATCGTAATTTTAAAGTATACCGAATTGCTGTAGAGTGCTATAATATTAGAAAATGTTGTATATAATTTAATTTTGTATAATTTTGTCAAATATTTCAATTAAATCGGACAAGTATTTTAAAAGTTACAATTTATTTTAAGTATACATATTTATATATAAGTATTTTAAAAGTTACATAGATCTGATAAATTCAACACGCTCAGTATAGCAATCTATTTTCAATCGTAATTTTAAAGTATACCCCGTTGCTGTAGAGCATTTCAATATTAGAAAAAGTTGTTTATAAAGTAATTTTGTATCTTTTTGTCAAATATTTCATTTAAATCGGATAAGTATTTTAAAAGTTAAAATTTTTTTTATAAATATATGCACAGATGCAATAAACTTGATGTACTATAGTTGAAGACACGTAATTGCGAGTTGACTATTTTCAATCGTAATTTTAAAGTATACGGAGTTGCTGTAGTGTGTTACAATGTTAGAAAATATTATAAATAATTTAATTTTCAATAGTTTTGTTGAATATTTCTCTTAAATCGGACAAGTATTTTAAAAGTTACAACAAATTTTATAAACTATCGCATAGATTGATAAATTCAACAAGCTCGAAATAATATATTGTTTTCAATAGTATTTTTAAAGTATCCCAGATTGATGTAGAAGTTTACAATATTAGAAAATATTACAGATTATTTAATTTTGTATAATTTTATCAAATATTTCAATTAAATCGAACGAGTCGTTTAAAAGTTACAGTTTATTTTATAAATATATGCACAGATGCAATAATAAACCTGATGTACTTTAGTTGAAGACACGTAATTGCGAGTTGACTATTTTCAATCGTAATTTTAAAGTTGTTGTAGAGTTTAGAGTTGCTTTAGAGCATTTCAATATTAGAAAAAGTTGTTTATAAAGTAATTTTGTATCTTTTTGTCAAATATTTCATTTAAATCGGACAAGTATTTTAAAAGTTACAGGTTTTTTATAAATATATGCACAGATGCAATAAACTTGATGTAAGTACTATAGTTGAAGACACGTAATTGCGTGTAGACTATTTTCTATTGAAATTTTAAAGTATACCGAGTTACTTTAGAGTTTTACAATATTAGAAAATGTTGTATATAATTTAATTTTTCATAATTTTGTCAAATATTTCTTTTAAATCGGACAAGTATTTTAAAAGATACAACAGATTTTATAAATAAACGCATAGATCTAATAAATTCAACGCGCTTAGAATAGTAATCTATTTTCAATCGTAATTTTGCAGTATACCGAGTTGCTTTAGAGTATATATAGATATTCTATATATATATATATATATATATATATATATATATATTCAATAGATAAGTCCTGGATTTTTTCAATATATTGATTGTTTCTTTTCCGAACAGTAAATCCAATAATAAAAAACAATTTGTTTTTTGAAGATGTTTAATACGACGTTTCGGAACTAGGTACGTTCCATCATCAGGTTTATTCTGTCAAATACAATGTTTTTTAAAATACTGATTAACATTAATTAACAATGGTCAATACAGATTAATTAGAAAAATTTTGTTATAAAGGAATGGATTATGTACCGGATAGATAGTAATAAGACTTAACTAAAAAAGGTTTTATATAAAATTGAGAAGCGAAAATTATTTACCTGTAATAATTTATATATCCATATCACTAATATTTTTTTGTTAAAAACACTCGATTTTTTTGGAAGATATTTGTAGATGTTACGACTACACAAGACTTAAACACACTGATATGGATTTCTGTCTGCCAGATGTAAAGGACAAAGCACGGAACTCTTGGCAAAAATGATTTTTATGGTTTCTTGTTTGGTAATTTACGAAAAAAGGAAAAATATTGCTTTAGTAAATGTTGAGAAATATTATGTATATAATATATATATATATATATATACATACATACATGAACATGTATATGCACACCTACATACTCATACATACATATGCACATATCTATATATTAATGTATCCACAATTATACACATGAACACATATGCAAGTGTATGTGTATAGTGTATACCCAAAAACATACATATAAGCATATATATGGATGTACAATATTATAACATATATACATGTATATATATACACATATTCAAAAACTATTAGGATTAATATTTTTAATCAGGTTTAAAAAATTAAATATGAGTCATGAATGATATTGTGATCTGATCTTTATTAACACTTTTTGACGAATTCAAAAAGATTAAACTGCTTTCAGAAAAAAAGTCTTTTAAAAGTACAATCCTCTCTATATAAAATATTGGGTTCAAAGGTGAAATTATGTGAGTTTTCGATGGAATGCTGAACAAGAGTACTTTGGAAATTTCGGCTTTTATGATGAGTGACGCTTAATTCATGTTGTCTCATTCTCTTATGAATGTACTGTGATGTTTGGCCAATGTATTGTTTTTGACAATTTTTGCAGGGATGG